ATAGCTACCGATTCCCGATGTGCGCCATCTCTTCCAGTGCCGCCCAGATGGTCTCTGTTTTCTCCTGGGCACCACTCGCTGATAAGGGACGTTCATCTTTTGACAACAGGGCCAGTAACGCGCGTCCTGCTTACCGGATTTCATCGCCTTGCTTGGTCCCGCAGGTCCCCCACCCGTTTATAAGGTCTCAAGGAAGCCACCCCTCATTGCGTAAACACACAGAATCCGCACAAAACCGGGGCACATCGCGGCACAGTGGTGCGACGAAATACCGATATGTTCGCAGCGGGTTCTAGCAAGCCGCAAACCCAACTTGCTGCAATTTCTCACTGAAAGTTTGGGAATCCTGCTTACCACATAATTGACAAAATCAAGGGATCATGACGAGTGTCACCACCGGCCAAAGGTCAGGAAAGGATGAACAGCCCACCCAACTGTCTTCCATAGCTTCCGGCAACGCTGGTGAAAAAAGTACATAGGACTGGCACACAGGGTTGCCAGACTCACAAAGGACTGCAAAAAAGCGCCTGAATTCACAAAACCGAAAATTCGAGATCAAAAAAACTCTCGCCATAATGCTTTCAACGACACGAGAATTATTTATGCAAAAACAGAACAACAAAGCAGAGACGCGCACCAACTGATCGGCTTCGTTACGAGGCTGAACGAGCCAAACTCGCCGCTACAGTTTAATTTCGGTGCAAGAAAAGTGCATACCACTACCTGCTCCTTTCTTCAGTTAGCTAACTCCTACAGACAGACCATGCACAATAGGCACATTACACTACCACACTCACATCGAGAACTTCTGGTCGTACCCACCTATCTTACAACGTGCCGAAGATATTTATGCTTCAAGCCATATCCTGTACAGACACATTCATATGTATATATATATTTTTAAAAAAATATATACGTTAAACTGCCTACAGAAAAAAAATGCGTTGCTCTCAATGATGTAAGAGATGAAATACGTTGTGCCCGCAACAAACTGTATAAGTTTCTGACTTCCGCCGCTTCCAAAAAACCAGCACAACGAAAGCTTAACGTAGGAATTTTATCATCATCGTCTCTCATTAATTTCAGCCTTTTCTCAATCTTTGATAAGCATCATCAACGGTTACTTCCCGGAGCAGCAAAGTCCCACTGTACACTACTTGCCTGCTACACACTGACTGCATTTTTTGGGAACTGGAGTATGAACCACAGCAAAAAAATTTAAATATAAAAGAGACGACAACGAATGCGAGGGATAGGAACTTTAGTTAAAGAATGACATTTCCCGCGCACATAATCGCTGTTTTAAGGAACCTTTGCACTTTATAGATATAGTTGATGGCCAATAAAACAAACTTTTCAATACAGCAGTGTTTCGTGAGGAAGCATACATTTTCGTTTCTTCATGAATACAAGAATCATCGATAAAGAGCTGCTCAAAAAGTTCACGATAATGAAATGGGAAAATTCTAAAATGCAACTGAATTCAGTTTAGGACCAAAATGAATGACGAATTGATGGATTCGGCGGTTGCGGATAAAGTCCCGTTCCCTGTACTGGATATGGT